GTGTATGTGTATGTGTATGTGTATGTTTATGTGTATGTGTATGTGTATGTGTATGTGTATGTGTATGTGTATGTATATGTATATGTATATGTATATGTATATGTATATGTGTATGTGTATATGTGTGTGTATATGTGTGTGTATATGTGTGCATGTATGTGTATGTGTATGTGTATCACCCACACACGCACACACCCACACACCCGCCGACGTAGAGAAACGAACGCCACATGGATAGACAGACGTTCATGTGTACGTACATATGTCTGTGTATAAATGTCGAAGGTGCATATACAGACGTGTCTAACAATACATACGTGCACATATACAAAGCTTTGATAAATGCATGACTGTGTTAATTGGTGTACATGTGTTTATGCACTCAGGCACAATTGTACATTCCATATCCAACTGTGCAGGCATGTTACAAGTAGCGATCTTTTGAGCGGAACAACTCAGATTTGGATATTCAGGTCTGTTGGGGATATCTTTGTGTATGCCTCTGTGTCTGTATGCACGTGTACTTCACATAGGTATGTTTGGATGAACGTATATGTTTCTGTCTGTCTGTCTGTCAGTCAGTCTGTCTGATTGTCCGTCTGCTTGCCTGCACGAGCATACGTAGTTTTCATCGATGCTTATGGTAGACCAGGTTGTCTTTTGCGGCTATGGGCTATGGAAGCAGGTGTAGACCTGTCGATAAGATAGATAGGATATCTGCGGTATTATGCAGATGTCGGTACAGAGTCGAATAGTTCGGCAGATATTGCATAGACATGTGTATATATATATATACGAGTCATACCTAAGTACATACACCTACAGACAGACAAAGAGGCATGTAGGTAGAAGAGAAGATCGACGATGCATAGGTGGATAGTTGGACATGCACGTCTTCGTGTTGTGTATGCATGCGGGCCTGCACAGCCGCATCTATGAATGCTAATGCGTTGTAAGGCAAAGTAATGTAATGCAATGTAATGTCGTTTGATGAGACAAACGTCGGCATGCAAACTAGTGTAGGGTAGTGATAGTGCAATGTCCCATGCTTGGAAAGTATCAATGCCACGCAATTGGATGTGCACGGCAGTGGCGAGACATGTTAGGCATGCAGTTGTACTGTAGACCATGGAGTGAAAAAGCAAGGGATTATTGCAATGGCCGAACAGTTAGCCATATGACCGAAGACACTCCGCGTGGTTATTGCTCCTACTTCGATGGCACAACACTTGGAGATTCACCCGAGCTGCCAGTAATGATCTTGGCAGTTCCTGCCGCTAAGCCTCTACGGAGGTAGGTTGCGTGCAGTTAACTCACACATGATCTCCACAGTGCCTACACGTGGACACTGCATCAGAGACGAGACTTTAGCTTGCATTTGAAAGCAGCTAAGCTGCGATCGGGTTTGCACGTTCCTACTTCGATGACAGACCCTTCGCTCGAGCTTGCGCCTTTGGCAACTATGAAGGCACACAGATTCAGCCCACCCGATGTTTCATTCTTAGAATCGTAGTGCAGCACTTGATCGGTCACATTGCTTTCCCTTCTGCTTCAGCTCTCAGCCTGAGGGCGGACTGTGTTCCTACATGAGGTCGCGTTTATAGCTCAGACCGACTCGTGGATCAGAGTGTCCAAATCAAGACACTCCTGCAGGCTTTGTGCGCTGCTGGGATGAGCAAACACCCGTCATATCCGAGTTTGTTGAGTTGAAGCCTTTGCAACAGATCCTGGCGAACCTTCTCCACCGTCGACCTGCCACCAGCAAGACGTTGGGCATGGAGCTCAGTGACTTCGAGGTCCAGTTCTTCGGCTGTGATTCCCTGGCGAAGCATAGAATTTGGTGAGGCACTGTGCAAGCTTGCTACATCCCCTTGATTTCATCCAAGGCGAGCAGGGAATCGCTGAGCTGCTGGTGAAGTTACATCGCTGGTTGCAATCCCAGCTGGTGTGCGCGTTGCGAGCATTGGGGCCAAGAGTCTAAGAGTGAATCCTGGTCGTTTAGCAGTTTGGCAGTCCTCCGGAAGGGGTGGTAATGAAAGTTCAGGAGACTAATTAGCTTGTGCCGGCAGTGGTGTAAGAGCGATCTTCAAAGATGCGGCCACTCCACCTACCAGATCTGACACAGAATCGAATGAATGCAACCTTGTGTGCGTGGGGCCGTTGAACTGTGTGAGAAAAAGACTCTTATTCGCTTGCCTCGCTATAAAAAAATGCTTGTGGACGCAATGTGCGCCACAGTCTCCACGGACCTCGAACCCAGGGTGTGGCAACAACGGGACAAAACGACCAGGCAGCTGGCGCTCCGTGCGTTGCAGGTGCATGCAGGGCATCGACTTCTCGATTCCTGCAGCAGCCCGGATTCCCGGCTTTTTTGCACGATTCTTCCCTAACTTTATCTAAATCCTCGCAAGGAACGTGGGCATCGGATGCTTCACTTCGGCACGTCGGCTCCAGCACCCTCAGGTGAGCTCAAATCCCAAGATTGCATACGGAAGTGTGCTGGAGACGAGAGTATGAGAGAACGCAAGGCAGTTCATCTGCTGAGTTCCTCCAATGGGGGGCTACATGTTGGGCTAGTTTTTGAGCCCGTCAGTTTTGTCGGAGGCTCCTGCCTGTGCCTGTGAATGGCCTGCAGGAGTGGGCGAGCCCTTGCTGGTACCGCCTCCGTGGCTGACTCCAACAGTTGCTGCAGCCTCGGCTCTGAGGCCATTGAGCCGTCGGAAGCGCGGCCAGCATCCGGCCGCAGTGGGTCAGAAGAGTTGCCGTTTACGTTCAGCAAGATCAGCGCAAACCTTTGCAGAAATTCGGCCAGCATCCAGGAGTTCAGAAGCTTTACCCAATGCCAAGACGACATTAGCGCAAACGGCAAGCAGGCAGCACGCAGCGCAGCCTCCTACCCTTTCGAGGGTGTGTGCGTGTGCGTGCTACAGAGCGACTCTCGTCCAAAGCTTCGGATAAAGTGACCTCCGTTAACCATGCGACTCGCGAGACCTTGGCAAGGGGGCAAGAGTCGTTTCAGGGAGGGAAATCTGCAAACTGCGTGGCACTACTACTTCACAGCTGCACACGACCACAACTGATCCCGAAAACACGATACAAGCCTTGGGCCTACGCATAGTTGTCACTTGTCTAAAGCCCCCGGAGCCCTCTGAAGCTGGCACCGACCTGTATTGCGTACATCTGGGATAGCTTGAAGCACGGACATGTCAGCAGCAAACACGTCGAAGAACAGTTCGGAACGAAGCCTCTCCCAAAGAGTATGCTGTCGCAGGACGCATGTCGGTGTCGTCCTTTGGCCATGCTGGCCCACGGGCATGGTTCAGACAAGTCCAAAATCCGAGACCTGGGAGAGCTCGGGGTAGCCGAGGTATGCGTGCAGCAGCTTCTGTGCCAGGCAGCTGCAGCGGGGACATGGTATCTGGAAGTGCTGCGTGGTACTTCAGCTTCAGCTTTGCTTAAGGATCTTCTCGGTGCAAGTTCATCACAACTGCTTGCAGGTGAGTTCCCCTCAGAAGCATTAGGGTCTACGAACCTAAACGAGACTGCCTCGGTTAGAGACCCAGGGACAAGCGTGTGAACACGTTCAGCTGATCAGCTGGTCTGGTCGGACGGGGTCTGACCTGTTGAATCACGTTTGCTCCTGCTGCGAGAAAGTGCGAGAATACAGTCGAGGGGAGGGTATGATTGATGAAACCCTTGCTTCTCATAAGCGGTCTTGCTGGTTGAGCGCACTGCAGAGGCAGGCATATTTTTGAGGAGCATCGTCTGGGATCTGGTTGAGGGATATGGAAACGACCGGTTCGTGCTTGCGAAAGCAGTTGGCAAACACGAACTCTAAATGCCTCGTACTCCTGGGCACGCAACAATCCAACGTCACCCTGTGCAGTGTTTTTCAGGGTGGCTTTGATAGGTGAATTCGGGGTCCCATGACGAAGCCCGATGGCACAGGCTGACCTGGTCAAGATGCGGGAATCCCGAGAGGCAGAGAAGACAAACTGGTTTCGTTGCACACCAGTCGCCGTCGAATCATTTGCAAGAGACTCGCTGCACTCCCACCAAGCTACCGCGTCGCCTCCAAATTGGAATTGATTGTTTGACGAGGCTCTGGACAAGGAGATGCAGCAGATGTGGGTTGGGGAGCCAAGAACGATGGCAGCCTAGAGGCATACGAAGTTGCGGTCAGCAAGCGTTGGGTGTTCCAAGGTGAGCTTGATCCTGGATTTGATGTATGCCTTTCCGGGGTTGGATGGCACGCTGGCGCAGCCATGCTTGCAGGCCACTGCCATCGACAATGCAGAACAGTGCACAAGTGGTTGAGACCAGACGAACTGATTTGAGGTGCTTCTGCGCTTATGCTCCGTATCGGTGGGGGCGAAAGCCTTCCTGGCATACCAGCAAAATCCACAGTCCATTGCTCAGTGCTTGGCGGGCCGTCCCGCTGCTCCTGTGGCAATCTTAGATCACGTATGCCAGCCAAGAATCGCCGCTTTTTCTCGAGAATCAAGGAGTGTGCGGTCCTGCGGTTGTCACCTTCAATTACTCGTAGATCTTTTCGCCATGGTGCGTTTGGCTTTTGAGGGCTTGCCAGAGGGTGTGCGCTCCGGTTGGCCCTTCATTTTGCAGCCCGGCAGCATCCAGCGCGCAACTCTTTCTTGAGGGCCACAGGGCTGTAGGTCTGCCAGAAGGCACGTGATTACGTCCGCCGATCTTGGTGAGCTGCAGCCTGCACCCAGGCTGAAGCGTCAGATTTCATTCGAGTTTGTCCTCCCTTTCCCGGTGCATAGAAAGAGAGGCAGTGTGTGCGAATCGCGATCGTCTCCCAAACCCAGGATCTCAGTTACGAGGGCTATCTGCAGATGGAGCTGGTGCAGGGCAGCGGCAGATTGCGGGGCGAGCTGACCGAGCTGGCATCAGGCCAGAGACTGGAAGCCTGGTGAGAGTCAGGTAGTGCAACTGCATTAGCTAGCATGCACCAGCACAGTTGCCTTTTGTTTGGGTATTTGTCTCCACATGTCTGTGTAATTCTGCTGTACAT